ATATTACTAAGAATTAAAGTTACAATTAACGAAATAGTGAAAAAAAACCTGTAACGTATCCAATTGGCTTTTGGCCAAATCCCAACGATGTCGGCAGGATTATGTCTTCGAACCAATAGAGCGCACAAATGAATATTGTAGAAAATGGAATACAGGAATAAGGAAAGGAAACAAAAACAAAAACAAAAAGAATGAAACTAAATTTGCTCTGGAAAATAATTTGGGCAGCACTTCGTTATCTGAATGCGGCTTTCTTTCTCAGCTCCCCTCCTTCCCCTTTTATAGAGGTAAAATTCTAACGGTTGTAATTTGAAGAAGGTGGACTTGGAGGCAGAAAAATTAGGGAGTAGTGGTCCATTATTTGGGACTTGGAACTGGTATTTGCACGTTCAATTGAAGCTGTGCGTTTTTGCCTGCATGACGGTCGTCATGGTGTGTGACGGTCGTCACCCGTGTGACGGTCGTCATGGAGGTGTGACGGTCGTCACAACAGCAAAATGCGCATTCTGTGTTTTTCATGTTGTTTTCATTTGGTTTTCGTCCATATTTCATCTATAATTGCTTCTTTTTTTCATGTTGCTTTGTTTGGACATGATCTTCAAATACCTACAAAATATCAGACAAATAACATAGAAAAAACCCGAAATCGGATTGAAACCAGTCAAACATTAGTTGAATTATGCGTCAATATATATATATATACGATTTCGCGTTATCAATTTATTTTTGGAATCAATTTATTCTGACATGGTTTGGTGAGATCTGGAAATCAGAATCAGATCTTGGATATATGGTTTAAGTTGACTTAGTTTTTGTTTTTGGTAGTTATTGAGTGATTTTTATGTGATTCTTAACTCCCTATTTGTGATCAGTACTCTACTTAATATATGCGGTGATTCGAGGTTCAGTTCCTCTGTTGTGGGAGCAAATTGTTGATCTAAGCTATAAATGCAATTTATCTTAGTTTAGGTAGTGTCAGGTTAATTCTATAAGTGTTATTGAGTGAAATTCTACATTACAACATGTGTATTCATTATTAGATTTCCATACATTACTTTGTTTTAGTTTACACTGATAGACACAGTTTGCAATATATGCACTTCTTCAACTGCATTTTGTTTAATGCAGGTTCCCATATTCACAACATATGGTTTACGAGTCTGATTTCTTAAGGTATTTGTCGTATGCTCTCTATTTATTTTTACTTCTCATCTTTTAATAACTCAACGGTTTTATTTAATTAACTATGTGAGGGTGTGGGAAAAGATGGCTACGTCACTCGAGTGGGTTCGTTATATTACGAAAGCAATGCCTCATACGAGATTATATACTATACACATTTGGATTCCTGGTTTCAAATGTCAGGGATTATTAATTGGTGGATATTGATGCAGTCTCAAATAGTTAAAGATGCAGATCAAGATACGTATCCCATATTGCATAGTTTTATTTTCATTCATAATATTTTGCTCAAGAACTGATTCTACATCCAGTTGGCAAACATGAAACTATTTTGATTATCTCCCATGTACACATTGTATTTTGGTTTTGATTACTCAGGTGATAATTGGCACAATTGTATACTAATAACTGGCACAATTGTACACATTGTATACTGATAACTGGCACAATTCTTCCCTTTGGTTTTGAAGATATAAATTCTTTATTAAATGTCTCTAACCTCTTATTGCTTTGAAGGTAATCATGTTGTTACTTATTATACAGTGAGGCTAGCCCCTGAGGAGATATCAACGAAGTTAACTGGATATTGACACAATGCAATGACTTGTACTGGCATGAAAACAGACATTCCGATAAATGTTGGATCTGACTTGTGATTATTATTGGATTCTAAATTCTTATAATGGTGTGGCATATAAGATTTTGCATCCTGGAAATGATAATGAAACAACTCATCATTCACACTTTCACTTTGCTGCAACTTCTTCATTTGGGCACACAAACCAGCTTGATAGTAGAGATCCTTTTGATGGTAATCATTCATTAGATGTAAATCACCAAAGCTGCATTCTCTGGAAAAATGATGGTGCAGAGAAGGTATATCTCCTTTTCTCTCTATTTTTTAAGCTAGATGACACACACACACACACACACACACACACACACACACACACACACACACATATATACATACATACATATATATATATATATATATATATATATATATATATATATATATATATATATATATATATATATATATATATATATATATATCAGTTTCCGCAATCGAATAATTGCTTTGGCGGATTGAGGAGCATGCTGATGTTTCCGAATTTTTTGCTGCCAAACGTTGTTTTCAAATAGCAGCTATAACGGCTCTATAAGAATACATTATTTGCATCATACACAGATTTATGAGTCTGTTTGTGGCAGTGGGTTTATGTGCTTATTGTTTGAATTGCCACCTTACAAAATATTTAAGAATGAAGAAAACACTACAAAGAATAAGAGCCTAATGGATAATAATCAACTTATCAACACGTAAACAATAATAGTTGAGTTACTGTACATGCAGTACAAACACTTATGCACAATTCCATGATAAGAATGGAACGGTCTCTATCTCCTAAAGTGAAATCTACATACAACTTGAGAGTCACCATACATTACTCCTTCACTCTTCAGATGCCATCAAGTGCATTTTTTAGATTTCCTCCGAAAAACATGAGGTCGCCGCCATGGACCCTGCCTTCTGGCAAATCAAAGTTGGTGCCTTTTGCAGCACCACTGCAGTCGGCAGTGACGTTGTGGAGGTTTCTGTCTTGTGCTGGCTTATTTGATCTTGGTGGTTTAGCAAATTGCAATAGTCTCTCAGGGTTAGAACCTCTCCCAAACTTCAACTCTTTTATCTTACATTTTAAATAACATTTTACTAATTTAATTTCAACAATTATTGATAATGTGATTGGTGCATATAAATATGGATATATAAACATGCTTCCCAATGAGTTGTTCAAACCATTGTTCTTTTCATGTGTTGTCTCTTTGCTCTATAATATCATCATTGATTATCAATTGTGAACTTATATATCTCTAATTGAACTTGGAGAAAATGGCTTTGATGGTTGAAGTTGTCATTGTTAGGTGTTTGCAGAAAGGCATATAGTAATTATGATTGTGATGCAATTATTAACAATTGTGTTTGAAATTTATGATTTTTGGCTTACCGTAGCATGATGATGTAAATTGTATAATTATTGCAGAGCCGTTAACGTCAATTGATGATTCTTCTTCTGTAAGTGATGGATCAAAGGTGCACGTGGATTATCATGTATCATGCGTATGCATTTCTATTTACTATTCAGCTGAAATATTTATGACAGTGTTTGTCGTGCTGCCAACAAATGATTTGTTCAATATAGGGAGTGTTGAGATCATACACTAAGGATGCAGCTTTGAAAGCGTGTCCAAAATGTGAGACTATGCCATGTGATGATTACGAAGATGCATTTAAGGCTCCATAATTCAATTTATGACTTGATGTTTTAGTTTTTGAATTATAACTATTGTATTGATATAATCATATTCTTCTTATAGGCAGTTGAACTGTGGTTCTACCAATTAAATCAACCATATTTACTGTGAATTATTTAGTGATTATTTCTCAATGGAGGCAAATCTATCGGCTTATATAAACATGCCAATTTTTAGGTCCTGACCTGGTTTATGATTTGCGCAAACTCTTGTGATTGCAAATGTATCTCTAGAATATGCTTACATGTTGGCAATGAATAACCGATCTTTTCATATGCAAGCTCTTGCTCAATGTAGGGTGGTGTTTAACGATTTAGGTGTAGACAGAGTTGTTAACTAGGATATTGTTGTTGTTGATAAGGTATATTATGAATTTTCTTTGTGTAGAGTGACATGTCTTAACTATTAAGATTTTGTGAATAGACAATGACCATAAATTGTGTAAGACACATTGGAACTATTGCGAGTTCATGAGGTGCAGAAATATATGGCCTGGACATTCTTGCTGAAGGAAATCCAATGACCTCATAAGGTATATAAGTTGTATTCAAATACTTCTTACTTTTTGAATTTTTTGTTTGATTCGGGATTTTTCTTATGCATGATAAGAATACACGTGTTACTGAGTTTCCAAATGATGATTAATTTTCCAAAGAAACATATTGACTTCCCTATGAATTTGTGTACACAATATGAATTGTATTAACAATTTGCAACAAATATTTAACGGAGATGCAATAACAGTTTCTATTTAATGCTGGTGATGTGGTAGCTTGCCTATTCATAAATTCAAAATATTTTATGCATTGCTGAAGGACACCCAATCTACAAAATTCTTTGATTGAATGTTGTGTTAAACTATGGATTTGAAAATAGAGGACACCTTTTAACCTTTATATTAAAAGAACTGGTAATTCGTTTGAAAATAACATGGAATCAATTAGATTTTCTTAGTTGACATGTTTCTTGTGTAAATATTTATAGTTATTAGTGATATTTGTAAATATTTTAGTTATTAGACATTGAATTTATCATGTTAGTAATTTCCTATATCTTTATTTTTAAATATTTGTAGTTATTAATAATTTTATAATGACAATTATATATCAGCAACAATCAATCTTTATCAAAAGATCTAAGATATGAATGGATTTACCCATGCGGATGCACGGGTCTTCTACTAGTTTAAATAAAGGAGACAAATAACATGGCCACAGTGGGATGGGATGTAGGGCCATTGTTGCAAACATTTCATTGATTTTTACATGCAGTTTAAAGTATCTCGATTTAGTCAAATGATAAATCACCTCATATTATGCAATAAAAATGATATGACCCTAGCTTAAAGAGATAAGGGAAAACCTATGCTTGAGATTGATTATATTCATCGCCATGTTTTGCTGGTCAACTATCATGCCAGAAATCGGTTTCCTGCTGAAGTCCTTCGAATTTTATGAGGCAGTACAAGGGATAGTAGAAAATTGCGAACTAAAATTCCATCAGGCCCTTTTGGCAAAATTATCAGTGTCATCATCATTGTCATCCCTAAAATTTCCCAAATCCTCATTTACATCGCCACTGTCTTTGCTATCAAAGTGTACACCAGCAGAGCCAGTGCCACTGCCTGCACCACTAACATCAGCCGGAAAACCAATGTTGCCATATCCTAACCCCCCACTTCCATCATATCCACCAGCAGAGCTAGTGCCACTACCTGCAGAGCCAAAGTCAGACGGAAAACCACTGCTGCCATCATTCCCATAACTCGCCCCACTTCCACTAGGAGCAGAATAGTTATTGCCAGCATCACTGCCCCCATAATTTCCACCTGGCCCAGAGCTGCCTCCACCATATCCACCACCACCGTAACCTCCCCCATAGCCACCACCCCCACCTGCATACCCAGCTCCACCATAGCCCCCAGCTCCACCTGCATACCCAGCTCCACCACCGTATGGTGCATTGCCATAAGAGCCGCCGCCGCCATAAACACGGGGTCTTTCATTAGCATAATTTACCCTAACTCGACGACCATGAAGGTCCTGAAAATTAAACACAGGTAATGAAACGCTAGATTAAGAGTGGTAACATATAGCAAGTCATTAAATTTGCAAAATTACAACAAAAACAAAAAAAAACAAAAAAGGTTAATAAAGTATTAAATTAATAAAACTATATAATGATAAGCATCGCTAAGAAAAAATACAATTGCACACATCACCGACAATTAGCTAAATATGTGTCCACATAAAACAGAAGCTGAATTATTCTACTTAAAACTTGCCTATCATGTGAAGGAAAACTAAGAAAGCTCTATAAAAGGTTTGTATTTTTTAGCAATCAACTAAAGTATTTGCCTTTTGTTTGAAAATAATAATGGAAAACTATGATTTCATTACTTTCATCAGGATCCACAATGATATGCACGCAGCTGGTGGTGCCACAATTAAATGACTTCACAATACAACAGTGACAGACAGAGAGACAGTGCAGGCAGACTGCAGACATCATCCACCATCTAGATCTGCCAAAATAAGGGTAATAGGTTGCCATGATTTTGAATTGTGCTTGCAGTCAGAGATGCAATTGTCACCGCTGCAATTGCAGGTATTGCAACTGTTGCAATATGTATTGAGGTTGTGTTATGATGTGATGTGAATATTCTTTAAAATCTCAAGTCTCTTATTATCCCTCACAACTCTCACCTCTCCCTCTTTACCAACGACTCGCTATGATTAAAATATTCCATACCTTTGAAATTTCTTATGGACCTACCTATCACATATATAGTAGTAATAATGATATGAAGATTGGAAAATGATTTTCGTGAGCACTATAAATAAAGCCTGTGAAGCAAGATGCAGGAAGTGGTGCGCTGGGGATTTTACAGTGATTAGCTGAAAACTATAACAGTTGTGGTGTGATGCTGTTGAGGTGTATCACATAATGAAGTATGCAATTTGAAACCACGATAACTTACCACCGCAGTTTTAAAAGATGTTATAGATTGGTCCACATTACTTGTTAAGGACAAAGTACTAAAGACCAACACATCTTCAAACTATCAACATATACAAAGACGGAGTGCATAAAAAGCATGCATATTACCAGAAATTAAACTGCTAAAATATTTAGCTTCAGCAAACATGTTCTTTTCCCAATGCCCGCACATCTAACAAGTTGTATTACCTGACCATCCAAGGCCTGAATAGCACTGGATGCCTCCTCAACTGAATTGAAAGTGATAAAGCCAAATCCTCTGGATCTCCCAGTTTCGCGATCCATAATTACCCTAGCTACAAAGAGTGAGATTAGTACTACGAGGTAAAAAACATTTGACATAAAATAATTACAGCAAAAATGTGTCCCTCCTTCCTCCATACTAGACAAAAAAATAAGAACTCAAATTATTACATGTGCCAAAAGAAATCATACCATCAAGTACTTCTCCGTATCTTGAAAAGGCTTCCCTCAAACTTGGCTCATCAGTTGAATATGAAATACCTATGGCGGACAAATGCCAAATACATTTGAATAAAAAACCATTATTATCAAGTATCAACTAATTAAACATTAAAGAATAAAACTTATTAAGGTATTTCAAACACACCCCCAATAAATAGCTTTGTGGTTGGGGCAGAGCACATGCATCTTATAGCCTGGAAAACAGATGGGGAAGGACGCAATTCTGAAACAATTTTCCTGTTTGTAGCTTGTCGTAGAATACTCCCAAGTTTACCAAAGAAAGCCATAGTTGTGACTCGAAACCTGAAGAAAACGATAAACATAAGTGGCTATATTCTGTACAAATTAATCAATATCAGTATCCATAACATCAGAATATAATTTTTCGTTTTAGTTCAAAACACTAATTTCAAAACAAATCCAAAACTTCTACTCTGTGATCCCATATTCACGCATAAAACGATGGAGAAATTGGATCGTCGGTTATAATCATAAACAGAAAAAATAACAGCTAAAGACGTGAAATCAGTGAACAGATGCGTATACATCAGAACGAAGAATGATGAAAAAAATTATCCAACAGTAGAAAATGAAACGAATCGGAAAAAGAAAAGAACGATGCGTAGAAATGAAAGAGTAAATAAAAGCTTGAAGAGAAGCACGGAGAAGAAAATTGCGTATTCGTAAATTACCTGCGTTCTAGCTGAGCTTGTCTGAGTCTAAAACCCTAAGCAAGATATTTGTATTTTATTTTCTGGTTAAAGAAATGGGTTTTTGTAGAAATGCGAAGAAGCTTCTGAAAATGCACCCATTTTTGTCTTTTGAATAGTACGGGCCTAGGCCCGTCATTAGTGCGGAGTTGTTATTTGCACCCAACCAGAACACTGATTCTTCCTCCCAAATAACAATTATCACACACACATGCATACCGACGCATGTATATCCCAATGCGGAGAGAGACTAACATGTAAAGTTTACATTCAAATGTTGAAGTTAGTATGTTAGTAACTAAAAATATAATCACTAAGATGGGCTACCGTGTGAGAGTTTGATCACAAAGATTATAGCAAGAGCGGGAGTCAGTCTTGCAGGAAAAAAATGTTCGTCTGTCACCAAATCAATTCAACATTTCTTAACAAGAATTAAAGAATGATTTCATGGAGAAAGATGAAGTTACAAACATTAAGTTTGTTGTGAATGAAATAGTTATGAATCTCATCATTGTGATCTCTTAAAAAATTGCTTTTGTTGTGGAAAAAACATCAAAGAAAGTTATTGCCCTAACAAAGAATTCAAAGTGAAAAGTCACAGTTAGGAATGAAAATATGGAAAACGAGTAGTCTCGTCTATGTGTTTAAGTTTAGTTATTGAATGTGTTTTAAATTTTCACATTCTTTTTCGCTTTCTATTCTTTAAATTATATTTAACAAAGTAATGTCTTCCTTCTTTAGTAAATCATGTATGATCTATGTGAATTATGTGCTTGCATTACTATCTAGCATCTTTTATATGCATTTTTTACTATGCTAAAAGGGAGAAGTATACTCTCAGGGAGAGTATAGTACATTCTCTACTTATATTTGTTTTTTCTTTTGCCATCTCCTTGAGAGATGCGTTGTCATCATAAAAATAGGGGATAATATGAATTTATGTGCTTGCATATATTGTCAAGATGATCCTAGGTGGTGAAGTTTATGGATAACAAAGGTGCACGTCAATTGAGTAGCTATTTAGTTTTGATGATTATAACACTTAATATCAAACGATATCCAGTGAAGTTTTTATATGTTGAAAATAGCTCAAGCGATCAAAGATGCTCAAGATGGTTGATTAAGTTATTCTCTTGAATCTATATATCTAATTGAAAATGTTCTTGAAGATCAAGTAATCTCTATGAAGTCAACATTATGGTCAAACGACATTAAAGTGAAGACTTATGTTTCAAGGTTCAATATTGGTTTAACCTCTCAAGACTTATGAGGTTTGGTTACCAGATTCCAAACAACATTTCTTTTAATCTGGTTAAGCTCTTTTTGCATTGATTCCAGTCATCGTCAAATAAGGTTTCATCAACAAAATTAGGTTTAATCATGGAGATAAGTCCTAACATTAAGTGTTCATCTCTGAATGCAAAATATTATCTTTAGAGGACTATATTTGTTTCCAATTATTTGCTCTTTTGGATGTGAAGACTTGTACTTAAAAGTCTTTATGAATTGAGTTGCTTATTGTGAATCATCATGAGCTTCTTCGAAACTTGCTTCTTATGGATGGGCTTCAGAAGTTTGATTAGCTTTTGGACCATCAGCTTTTGGACATCCAACTTCTGAATGTTTGACAGCTTGTGAACCACCAGCTTCTGAAGTTCCGTCAGATACATGAAAATCTATAGAAAAAAATTCAACTAGCTCTTACATTTTATTGTCATCAAATTTGATGTGTATTGACTCTTCAACTATTTTAGTTTCAGAGTTATACACCTTGTATGCCTTTGAGCTTTCAGAGTATCCTAAGAAGATATCCTTTTGAGTTTTGGCATCAAATTTCTTTAGAAAGACTTTATTATTCAAGATGTAACATATACATCCAAACTGATGAGAATAAGAAATGTTTGGAATTCTTCACATGAATAACTCATATGAAGTTTTGCTTAGAATACATCTAATATAAATTATATTTTGAAGATTACATATTGTGTTTATACCTTCTGCCCACAAGTACTTAAATAAATTATTTTCACGGATCACGGTTCTAGCCATTTATTGTAAAGATTTGTTCTTTATATCTACAACCCCATTTTGTTGTGGAGTTATAGAAGAAGAGAACTCATGGAGAATTCCATGTTTTTCACAAAAGATTTCAAATGGCTCATTTTCAAATTCTCCCTTGTGATCACTTCTGACCTTTAAAATCTTAGATTCTTTTTCATTTTATACTTGTATGCAGAAGATGTTAAACACATCATATGATTCGTCTTTAGTTCTAAGGAATTTAACTCAAGTTCGTCTGCTATAGCCATCAACTATAACTAATTCATATTTCTTTCCATTGATTAATATGCAGTACCAAATGGACCAAATAAATCAATGTGAATCAGTTCTAAAGGCCTAGAAGTATAGACAATGTTCTTAGTTTTAAAAGAAATTTTATTAATTTTCCCTACTTTGCATGTTCCACAAAAAGCATCTGGGTGATAATTAAGTTTTGGCAATCTTTTAACATGTTTTAACTTGCTGAGTTTATAGATTAATCTCCAGTTAACGTGACTTAACCTTTTGTGCCAGAGTCATTTTTCATCACTCAGTGATAGAAGGCAAAGTACCTTCTGATAAGCCCATTCAGAGAAATTAATTTTATAAACATTGTCTTTTCTTCTAACTTTGAACACTATGAACTTGTTAGACTCATTCATGACTATATAGTTTCACTTATTAAACATCACTTCATAACCACTATCACAAAACTGACTAATGTTTAGTAGGTTGTGTTTCAATCCATTACTTGCTAAACACTATTAATAGAGATAAAGGAATTACAACTAGTACTCGTACTAATGATCCTTCATTTATGGTTTCCTCTAAATCCTATAGTCCGTCCCTCTTTCAGAGTTATAGTTTAGAACATATGTTTTTCTCCTGTCATATATCTTAATCAACCATTTTCCAAGTACCAAGACTATTTTTTTGCTTCTCCCTTGAAGCATGTTTGTTGCAAAAACAATTTCAGATTTAGGTACCCATATTCTTATGGGTCCTTTGAGGTTTGTTTTGTCGAGCTTATTCTTATTTTGTACCTTAACTTTTATATATTAAGGCTTAGGATCATTCAAGATTTATAGTTTAAAAGTTTGATGTCTTAAATAAATCTTAACCTTTGGCTCTAAACTTTTCAGAACTTTAGACTCTGATATCTTAGGTTCTAGTTTCTTCAGAACCTTTGAATTTAGAGTGCTTGGTTTTAATTTCTTCAGAACCTTTGACTTTCAAGTCTCAGGTTCTAATTTCTTTAGAACCTTAGACTATACAATTTTAGTTTTTAACTAGTTTAGAACCTTTGTTTTGTCAATAGCGGGTACAAAATATGAATCTAGCCCTCTTTGAGAAGAGCTTGAAGAATAAGGTTCTATTCATTTAATCAAGGTTCCAAACCTTAGATTAAAAGGTTTTTTAGAATAACCAAAATCATTTCATTTGCTCGTACTGACACTATAAATGATGGATGCAAGTTTTGTTATGTTAAAGCCAGTTATGATAAAGTACTAAAGAGCCATTTCACGCTCATCAAGAGGTTTATCATACATTTATTTTACTAGAGAAATATGATATATTTATAAAGTTTCATTTATATTTTGAGAAGATTTTAATTCATCTTCCAATAGATCATATTATTTTTTCAAAATTTTCATATGTCTGACTTTTTCTTGACAATGACCTATAAGGTCTTGAACAAAAGTAATTGAATTTGCAAAAGATAGTTTAGAGAAAAATTCATCATCTTCTTCAGACTCTGATCCAGAATCTGAATCAAATTCTGTTTCTGAAGATGTAAGAGCCATTAGAGCTATATTGGCTTGTTCCCATCTTTGTCAGAGTCCTCTTTATTGATTTGATCCCATGTTGCCATGAGACTCTCTTTGAACTTATTTTTGAAGTTGTCATTATGATAGCTTCCTTTCTTTGACTTTTCCTTTTTCACCTCTGGACAATCAGCAATGAAGTGACCAGGCTTTTTGTAGCTGAAGCATCCCTTATAGTATTCTTTCTTTTCTCTAGAGCTTGATCCCATGAAGCCACTACTTCTACCAGAGAACCTTTTTTTTCTTTTTATCCAAGTACTAAAATATTTTTATTATAAAAGCAATTTCTTCATCATTAGAATCTTCTTTAGAAGTTCCTGCATGTGAAGCTTCTTTAGATTCCCAAATTTTAAAAGACTTGACGGGTTGAGCAATAGATTTCAATGTAAGAGACTTTAATTTATTGGCATGTTCATCTTCATTAAGTTTCATTTAATGACTTTAGAGATTTCTTATTAGGATTTTAAGACTTATAATGTCTAAGTCATTGACTTCTTGAATGGATGTTGCCTTTGGTTTATATCTGACAATAAGACTTCTAAAAATCTTATTGACATGATCAAAAATTGTATAGCTCTTGTATAAAACTTGAAGTCCAAATACATGAACTTAAAAACTTGAGAACATGGTTTCAATATCTTCATTTTCCTCCATTATGAACATTTCACACTGTTGGACCAAGAGGTTAGCCTTTGCCTCTTTTACTTGCTA